TTCAAGAATATTTCCTCTACATTTTTTTGTACGTTTAGACCGTAAGCAAGTTTTCGAAAACATATAAACTACCCTCTTCTATGCATATCAAACTGCTTTCCACTACTAAACAAAAACAAACCAAAGAATATACCTTCTCAATATAAAGCATTCTCTTATGCGGCATTGAAATCGGAAACACAACTGATGGAGCACGTTCACTCTCCTCATTCTCTACTGCCATTAGCAACGCTCCTTGACAGAATGCTATTGCTTCAGGTACATATCTAAACACCATAGGATGAGTTCTAGTGAGAAAAAGAACGTTCTGGACCACTTACCGCCTGCTTTCTTCTACGTAGTCACTGACTACTGTCGCAAGGAGTATCTGACGAGCGAGGATAGCTAAATTCAGTACTTGGCACTTCGCAAGTGTCACGGCCGCAAGTGCCATGGCTGGAGAGCAGACAGGGTGCCATCTGTCACTAACAGGGAACAGAGAAGCAATTAACCTGAAAGCGCAAACCTAGTAAAACGACCACTAGAAAAAAGTAGAAAATAAAAGGAAAGAAAAGTAATAAATTGAGTACTAAGAATTTCTGATGATTCTCACTCCGCATATGAAGAGAGGGAAGACCGAAGAGTCTTTCGCCTCTTCATTTGAGACTGAATTAATCACAACTTGCTAAATCCTAACCGGATGCTTCAACTCGTAATTGAAGAGCACCTTGAAACCTATTAAATAACTTCATAATGGCCTTCTACATGGGTGGGAGAGCCAGTTACCGTGAGGTTGAAATTGAATGTGATAATGAGTGTGACATCATAGTGATTATGAGCCGCTTTTTGAACGGAGCGCATAAGATGGTTGCCAATGAGACATTTCAAAGGTACGACGGTGGCTACGGTTGTGTGGGGACATTGAGTTAGAAATGTCACTGATGGGAAGACCTTGAGATGGTCTAACCACTCCCCTAGCGCGTGAGAAGGAGTGGTCAAACCGCCTCTCAACGTCTTTCCATCAACACTTGTCCCATTTTTAAACGGTTCATCACTTAATCACTTTGAATAATGTTAATGTTCACTCAATCCAATACCACTTACCCTTTCGTGAACTCTGCTTAACACATTGACGACATTGAGACGCGGTAACGCGTCTCACTTTGCGCACCTCGTTGGACATTGAGACGCGTTACCGCGTCTCACCCTTATCATCCCTTTTTCTAGCGCATG